AACGTCAGGACAATAAAACTCTTGTTCCAGTGATCGCCTCTTCTTCTTCGGAGCTTCTTCCTGCCCACCTTTGCAGGACGTACATCGTAAAAGTTGCTACTTAGGTAGTATGCATTTTTATCTATTGCTTTTGATGCCCTTATGAATTCAAGTGCATAAAATTATTCCTTTTTTATACTTGTTAATAATCAAATTACTTCTTAAAATTTTATTCTTGAAGAAAGGATACCATTCGATTTTAAAACAGTCGCTAATAATAAGATTTGTAAGACTGTTAAATGTTCGTTTAAAGTATGCAAAATGATCCACATCCAGTGCAAACTTTTATGAGAACCACCTGACCTCTTCCCTATATCTTAGGGAAAGTGTACTTTTTCTTAGACACGATGTTTACAGTATGTAGTTTGGAAATCCTGAATTCAAGTGTAACGGCCGATGGGATTCAAAATTAATTTTTAAAACTCAAAGTGTATCCTTTCTCAGAGGGGAAATTTGAAGGTGTAATTTGCTACCAAATGAAGAAAAAGAAATATTGTTGTGCACGGTTTATAACACATATTTTTAAAATGCTAAGAGCACTGGAAACCAACGATGAAACTGTGCACTACTTAAGAAGCGATTATTGCAGAGTATGCCTTTCGCAAGTGGTGAGAAGCAAGCTCGTTTACAAGCCGAAATCCTGATGCGACTGAAATATTTTCGGTTTCGGCTGTATGATAATCCGTATAACAACGCTACTTAAGTAATTTGTTCGAATTGAAAGCAGATTTCAGAATTCCGGTTGACATTTCATGAGATCATCGAAAACTGTGGAACAACAGAGGTCAATCTACAGCAAGAAAGGCCACAAGACAATGTAGTTTCAAAAATCGAATAGAAAATATCCGCCGGAAAACAGAGCGAGGGGAGAGAGTCAGCCGACGGAGGTCAACTTATCTTAGGTACAATATAACTTAAAATATAGGCAGCATTATTATGCCTGGAGTATACTTTGCCGTTTCTGCTAACGCAAACATTTACAACTGAAACTACTTCATGATAAACGTTGAACGCGACAATTTACGGGGGGTGGTGCTGTGAGTACACGAGGTTATTGCTAGAGTTTTCTTAATATGTATTTATTCCCTCTTAGATTTGTGTTTGTCATATTTTGTGTATATACATTCCGGTGTTGATAACATGAAATGATTGTTCAATGCAACATGTTTTACAATCGGAAAAATTGGGACTTTAAATAATATCATGCTCTGCTTGTAAGGAAGGGGAAATCTCGTACCACATATCCATTAAGTAATTTTATTTGAGACTATATTTGAGACCTCAAGATGTTTCGTTTAACGTCCTTGGCGTCGATCCGTCTGCAAGGACACCTGTTTTTGATGGCTCTAGATAGATGCAATTCAGCAGCACAGTAGTCGGTGACCGAGCTCATGAAATATTAACTAACATTCTGAAAAGCGTTTTCGATTCGGAGGGATTACCTAAGTAGGATCGTGATACCATATATTTACGAGCTTAATCCCCAGACATAATAATACCGGCGTTCAAATACACGTCTTTTCGACCACCTGGAAAAACCGCATTCGAGAGAAAAATGACAACTTAAGTAGCATGCGTTTTTCTATTGGCGTTAAGTGTCCATATAAATTAAAATGTATGTTAAAGCAAACCCCAGAAAACGTACTTTTTATTCTATTTTTTGATGGCAAAACACGTCTTTTTTAAACTTTACAAATAAATGAAGAGAATAATTTTTTAAATAGTTTCATTACTTCCGATTAACTAAGAGCCCGCTCAGCCGTTATATTTGCATTCAAGGCTTTCGGACGACAAGATGTGCGCCTTCTGCATAAAGATTAGCATTCTCTATTAAGAAGACACCCCATGATGCCCGCGAAATTTTGCAATGCCTGTGGGCTACGCCATATACTTCACGAGGGTAAGTAATCAACGAATAAAGACAATTGGAATTGAATTCACGTGGCAGGATTTGCCAAAAATGTCCACATGAAAAACCTTTCTAAAACGCAATTGTGTGAATATAGCATTTGAATAAGACGAGATTAACTATGAAATAAGTAAGAGAAAGAATATTACCGGCCACGTTTTCTACTAAAAATAATTGAACTTACATAGGCATCGAGAATCGATATAAAAATGCATCCTAATCCATTCTAATTAAACAGTAATTTATGATTGAGTGTGGATTTTACTGATAGAAAACGTGCCCTTAAAAGCCGGCATCCTGGCCTACCAGAAACATTTCGAAATTATGCCGCCCAATGATTTGTAATGCAATCTTACTTAAGAAATCTGTCCTAATTGAAAACGCATTCTAGAATTTTGGCTAAAATTTGCTGGGATTTGTCACTGGCTCTAATTGGCCAGATTTAGTCCAGTCTTAAAATTTCAGATTTGATTCCACTCAATAAAGGGGTTTTGTTTTGATTCAGAAAGTTTTATGACTCCTCCGGGATATGATAAAGCGTTTTTTTTCATTTAATGCTTTTGGCGAATTTAGATTTTCTGTAAGTGCAATCAAGATGCCACTGTCAGCTTCCATTATTTTAAGTTAGCCTTTCTTCTGTGCAGGCCTAAACGAAAGTTCTAAGTAAATTAATAAAATAGACAATTGTTAAACTCTGTTCACTAGAACAATGCATGCGCATACAAGATAAAACCCTTGTAGTCGCAAACGCGAGAGACCGACAGCCATCAGAGTATGAAGCTTTGATCAAAACTTCCTTTCATCCCTAACGAATGTTTTGTTCGACAAAGGTTTTGTCCCCTTAGATTTCATTAGCATTTCCCTGCTTTTAGTCTATAGATCCCGGCAATTTTCTCAATCAAATTAGTTCACATGGTGGATAAATTACTGTTCATCTTTTGAAGTTTACAATAGGTTAGTGTAGCCGAATTCTGAAAAGACTCATTGTTATTTTGTACAACATACTTCCCAATGTCGTCTTTCAATCAGAGGCCTTTGCCTTAGGGGAAAACAATGTTTTTACTAACATTTTCCTTATTAAGACGGGGACGTTAGGGGAACGGCCATCGCACGGAAGTGGTCAGACAAATTCCCTACGAAATTTCGGACAGAGGTTTCCTCAATAAGACCTTCTTAGAACGGCGTGCCTAATAAAATCGCGTTAATTTTTTTTCGGAAAACTGTCCTAGGTCCTTAAAAGAACGTCTTTCGATCAACACGACTTGAACTTCTCCGAAAAACTTTAAAAGTTGAAGGCATCAAAATTAAATTCGTTTCAAATGGTTGGTAAATCAAGAAAAATCCTGCCGGGAGTTTAGGTAAGTTAATTTTCTTACGGGGTCAAGATAATCGCTGAAAACTACAGACCGGTGCCTTAAAAAGCGATGAATGAGACTGACTGATTGGCAAAAATGACTGCTTATGCTGGAATAAGAACTGATTAAACTAAATAAAATATTAAAGTCACTTAATTGTTGGCTGATATTTTATAACTTTACATTCCCGTTAATGGAAGAATAAGTCTTAAGTATATGCAGGTTACAACCCAAATGCACGGGGTCAAAAAGTTGAAGTGCATCAAAATCAAATTCTTTTCAAATGTTTGGTAAAGTAAGAAAACTTCTGCCGTCAGTTTAGGTGAGTTAATTCTTACGCGGACAATATAATCGGGGACAAGATCAGCGCTGAAGACTACAGACCGGACCTTAAAAGACGATGAATAAGACATATTGGCAACAGTGACTGCCTATGCTGGAATAAAAACCCGTTAAAGTAAATAAAATAGCAGTCACTTAATTTTGGCTGATATTCTATTACTTTAAATTCCCGTTAATGGAAGAATAAGTCTTAAGTATATGCAGACTACAACCCAAATGTACTGTTATAGTAGGCAGAAGACTGCTCTCAACTCATTCTGAAGCGCAGGTATCAAAAAGGACCTTGGAGTTATGCATCTCTAGATTCTGACACTGTCCACAACTCCAAATTTCTGTTTTGAAAACTGGCTTAGCATAACCACGCTGCATAGTCCGATACATTAAGAGTCCAAGTCATTAAGTAGGCGTGCATTCACGTTAAAAGTTCCAAGAAATCGGAAACCAGGTAGTGGTGAATAACATCCTTTTAAATGAGAACACAGAGAACATCCACAGAACCATATTATAGCATGTAACCTAGCACATTAAATAGGCCCAAATCAATGAAAAAGCGCTAATCATCAATCTGGAACCAATGTGAATGCACCCTCTGAAACACCAAAATGAAACTGAATGGCCTTTGCATATACCAGTTGATGGAGAGATTCTTATCAACTGAGTAGGAGAAACGATACTTTCGGCTTGTTTTTTTTTATAAAATATACTTTAACTAAAAAGGGCATCGAAAATCAATACATAGTATTTCAGTAGTCATTTTGATTGGATGTCGTTTTTGCGAGGAACCAAAAGACGTGCATTTAAAGGCCGGCGTCTCGATGTAGCTGAAGCACCATGCAATTGTGTTGCCCGATGACCGATATTCCACAACGCAAATTAGAATTTCAGCCAACATTTCAATAAACGGCTCACTGACTGTAAATCTGTTTCAAATGCTCGCGCATATTAACACCTTACAACTTCTTGCATCTTTCGCGGCACACGGCAAACTCTCTTCAAAGCGAAGAGCTAAAACCACGGTCCTCTGATGTTTATCGGCTAGTTGCACAGACTAAGTGCAGTCCTCTATTTGCGGATTTACAGTTGAATCCTCTGGCCGAGCCAAAATCTATCTCTTTCCTCCCCCTCTCCTTTATCCACCGAAAACATGGGCTTTTCCCTCTCATTACTATTTCAAATCCATGGTGCATGTAAATGCATAGACGGGTGGATAAGTCGAAGACATAGCTTTGCCTCTACGGAAAAAAAACTGTTGGTTTCCATTCCACCGCGCTTTCCTTTAAAGTCCTTTACGGTAGACTTCGCAGGCCATATCGTTTGGGGTCCACTCCTACCCTAGGATAACCTACTTTTCCTCCAGTCCGATATTTATCACTGAATTCGCATACAGCCTAGTGCCTAGTGAGTGGCACTTGTTTACTCCTGTTTTGAAGTCTGCCTGCATAAGTAATTGAACTTGCCACTAGTTATTCCAAACCAGGAGCATTAAGAAGAAAGACCGCGCCATTCAGGAAATATTTCAAATAAAAGCCATCAAATAGTTTTGTTAACTCTAGCAGTGCTACTGAAATAAGGTGCCAAACGTTAAATTCCAAGTTAACATATGATCGTTGAGCATAGGGACATCGCGAAATTGTAAAATTAAACTTTGCGTCCAGGATAATCAGGCGAAATCAGGCATGAAAAGACGCATTTTTGCAGGAGAGGAGTGGATTCAGCTAGTGATATTTTGTGCTCTAAAAGCCCATAATGAGCTCATTCGGCAGTAGCTTTTTGCGACGCGCTAGGAATTAGAAGGCGCAAACAATTGCACACGCAAAGAGCGCACGCGACAAGCCGCTACTCTTTCCTTTACCACGCCATGTAATTAAGATGTCGAAAGCATTTTTGCTGGCGGTAAACGTTGGACACATGTGGGAAGTAGGAAAAGAAGGGCCGCAGGGTGAAACGTTGGCAAAAGTTTCACTTTTTTTAGTAAAACAGATTCTTAATGACGAAAGCATGCATAGAGGTATGGAGGGCTAATCGAAAAATTTACTCGTTTAGCAATAAAAAGTAGCATAATGTGCCCGCTGAGGCCAGTTAGAGGTAGTATTTGTCAGTAGTTCAAGAACATAATTAGGAGGTGGATAGGGGGAATTTTGTCGGAATCTGCAAGCGGCCATGAGAATACGATTTCCAAATAAGGAAATGACGTGAGGGCTTTTTGTGCTGGCTAAGAGGTACGTTGAGCTTCATGCTGAAAAATAGACGTTCGTTTCGGCGATGAGGGTCCATTCTCAGGCAGGTCTACAAAGTGGGTCAGGGTAGTCAGGAACTTGCAAAGGCAGCGCACTATGTGCCGGGCATACCCTTTAGGGCAACAGAAGCCTATGTAGTTCCCCCATTAATCCCTACTACTAGCAAGTTGTCCTACGAAAACGGTGCTAATGGGGTTTTATGGGTGGGGAAATTAGGATACGCAGTGGAATATACTTTAATAACTGCTATACACATTTTTATTTTATTGTAATTACAAGCGCTGTTGATTTATATCTGTAAATTTTCCTAATCTGTATTGTCTTTTGACGTAATGCGGAAAAACACGATTATCAAACTGCGGATTTCTCGAAATTCCTGAAAAAAAAGAAATGC